CAACCGATGCTGCTCGTCCGTCCGCTCCCTGAGCTCGTACCGGCGCTCCGGGTGACGCCGCAGCTGGACGTAGGTGCCCAGGAAGTACACGCAGGTGACCAGGGCGATGAAGGCCGCCGGCCCGTAGAACGCGCCCAGGCTGGGCTCCCAGGCCATCCAGCAGCTGCGGGAGGAGAGCAGGAGGAGGAGGAGCTGGTGAGGGTATGGGGGACGGGGGGAGACAGCTCCAGGACCCCGAGGGTCTGCTGAGGGCTGTGCTGGGACCCGAGCCCAGCGTGGCACTGCTGTGAACGTGGGGGAGAGACTGGCCTCCCGGGGGCAGGCGGGTTGGCTGTGGGGAGAGCCCAGTGCCGACTGTGCTGCCTGCACCTGAGGTGCCCGTGGAAGTCATTGCTGGGCATGGCCAACGGGTGGCCTCATGGTCAGGTGATGGGCACGGGACCCCATCCCACCCACCAGGGCCAGCCTGATGCACTCAGGCTGCTTCAGAGGGCCAAGGTCAGGGAGTGCCCCGGGGCACTGGAGCCTGCAGAGCTGGGGGTGGGCGCCCTGTGCAGAGTGAGAGTGGGGAGGGTCGGTGAGGTCCCCTGGCCCAGACAGGGTAGGGAGGGCCTGCGGAGTCTGACCCAGCTCCTGTGCACAGCTGGGTCCACTCTGCTGGCCTCGGCCTGCTGCCAGGTGTTATTGGTCCCCCAGGCCTCTCCCATCTCCACAAACTGGCCCTCGGTCCCCGGGGGAAACTGGGCCCGTTGGGGAGGAGGACAGCTTTGGGTGACCAGGCCTTGTGCTGGCAACTCATGGACACCTGGGGACAGTCTGGGCAGCCAGGACCCCTGCCCTGCATGGTCTCAGCAAGGCCGTGCCTCATTCCCGGGCTGTGGCAGTCTGTCGTCTATGAGTGTCTGTGACCAGAGAAGGTGCTGGCTGCCACTGGGCACCTGCAGCCAGGGCGACTGAAGCCTCGTCAAGGGCCACCCTCAGCCCCTCGGTGCTTGTACTCACTATGCCGACTCCTCGCCCTCCGTCCCGTAATTCCTGATGTTCGTGGCGGCCGTGACTCCGCAGATGATGAAAGGAACCCCTCCACTGACGAGGTAGAACCTGCCGGAGAGCAGGAGGTCGCTCACTGACCTTTGAACCCAACTGGGTCCCCCAAGGACAGCATCATCTTCAGGGCAAAGGAGGGAGGGTGGCCCACGGGTCCTGGACAAGCAGCTGTCAGGCAGGGGCAGCGCCAGCCCCACTGACCAGGCAGCCACTGCCAGGGCCTGGCCTCTCCTCCGCCCCATCTCCCTGCACCCCCAGCTCGCTGGCTGCTGCGCCCCTCCAGAGATGGCCCTGGCCAGGCCCCAGTGCCATGTCCCCCAAGAGGAGAATGACACGGGTCCTAGGTCCTTGGGTGGGAGCAGGATGCCCCTGCCTCTGGTCACTTATGGTGACCCCTGGGGACTTTGCCTCCCAGAATTCTATACCCAGAAACACACCCTTCAGAATGCAGGAGAAATAAAGACAGATTATAATAGAAATAAAACTAAGTGGCCCGCTGACTTCAAGAAATGCTAAATGAAGGCCTTTAGGCCGAAGGGTTCTTGTACCCCATGGACACTTGGAGGAAGAAAGAACATAAAAATGCTAAATAGTAGGGTAAGTAGAAAAGATTTTGTTTCCTCTTAACTTCTTTAAAATACATGTGACTGTTTAAAGGAAGAATGTTGCCTCTGCCTGTGGCATTTATGACACACACAGGGGTAATATATACGGCGTCTCCAGCCTAAGGGTGGTGGGAGGGGAGAGGGGCTCCATTCAGTCGCAAGGTTTCTAATGTAGTTTACATGAAATAGTAGAATTTTCACACTGAACAGGCTGTGAAGAGGCCATGGATTTAAATCCCTGAAGCGACCACAGAAAATTAGTAGGCAAAACACTAAGAGATAAAATAAAGAGTTTAAAAATGTTAAAATAATCCAAGAGGAGGAAATAGAAGAGGAAAGGAAGGACAGAAGAAAAAAAAAGGAAGTAACGCTCTAGCCGGTTTGGCTCAGTGGTTGGAGCTTCGGCCATGGACTGAAGGGTCCTGGGTTCTATTTGATCAGGGGCATGCACCTTGGTTGCAGGCTCGATCCCTGTGTGGGATGCAACCAATCACTGTGTCTTTCTCATATTGATGTTTTTCTCTCTGTCTCTCCCCCTCACTTCCATTCTGTCTAAAAATAAATGGAAAAAATATCATCTGGTGAGGATTAACAACAATGACAAAAAGTAAAACAGAAAACAAATAGTGAAATGGAGATCTAAATCCAACCAAATGAAAATTTCATTAAATTTTAATGGACTAAAAACTCCAAAGGCAGAGATCATCAGAACTGATTAATAGCAACAAAAAATCAAGCTATTTACCGTCTACAATAGAAGCATTTAAAATATAAAGGCACAGAGAGGTGGAAAGTTAATGGATGGAAAAAGCAGTCTACACAAACCATGACCCCAGGAAGGCTGGAGTGGCTACATTAATAGCAGATAAAGTAGATTTTAAGAGAAAAAGATAAACAGGGACATTTTGTAATAATGTCAGTGTTAGTTTACTGGAAGTCATGGCAACCATGAATGTGTGGGTGCCTAGAGAAAGATTCAAACTACATGAGGCAAAATGGACAAAATTAAAGGGCGAAACAGACAACTCCAAAATCATAGTTGGTGATTTTAACTCCCCTTCCTTAGCAATTGAGAGAACAAGTAGTAAAAAAAAAAAAAATCAGTAAAGAAACAAGATCAGAACAACAGTATTAATCACTTTGCCCTAATTACTCTTTCTAGAACATCACAACCAATAAATGCACAACAGTTATTCTTTTTAAGTGCACATAGTCTGTTCATCATGACAGATGACATCAAGAAACACATCTCAATAAATTTAAAAGGATTGAAAGCATACAGAGTATATTCTCTGATCACAATGAAATTAAGTTGCAAATTAATGACAGTAAGATAACCAGGAAAATCACGACTATCTGGAAATGAAATGATGCACTTCTACTAGTAAATAATTCATGGATCAAAGGAGAAATCAAAAGGGAATTTAGAAATGATTTTAAACAGAATGAGGAAGAAAATACCATATAAGATTTCTGGGGTGCAGCTAAAGCAGGATTCAGAGGGACATTCATAGCTATGACTGCATCTGTGAGAAAAAAGGAAGGTCTAAAGTTCACTGACATAAGAGTCCAGCTCAGCAAGGCAGAAAAATAAAAAATCAAAGTAAATGGGAAGGAGCAGGAAGAAGGAGAGAATAAAGATAGGAGCAGAGATAAAGAAAAAAAAGTCCTGGATATAATGTACAGCACAGCGACGATAGTAACACTATGCTGTATCTCTGACAGTTCCTAAGAGAGTGGATCTTAAATGTTCTCATCACAAGAAAAAAAGTGGTAACTATGTGGGTGATGGATGTTACCCAGACCTATTGTGGTGATCACAATATACACGAACATTATGTCCTACATCTGAAGCTAATAATTTTATGTCAGTTACACCTCCATTAGAAAAAAAAAAAGACAAAAGTAGTGAAAATTACCAAAGCAGTTGTTCCTTTCCTGAAACCATGAACAAAATGACATAGCCCGAGTCGGCTGATGAAGAAAAGAGAGAGAGAGAGAAGAAAGAAAGAAAGAAAGAAAGAAAGAAAAGACCCTGGCTGGTTTGGCTCGGTGGATAGAGCGTCGGCCTGCGGACTGAAAGGTCCCAGGTTCGATTCCAGTCAAGGGCATGTGCCTTGGTTGCAGGCACATCCCCATTAGGGGGTGTGCAGGAGGCAGCTGATCAATGTTTCTCTCTCATTGATGTTTCTAACTCTCTATCCCTCTCCTTTCCTCTCTGTAAAAAATCAATAAAATATATTAAAAAAAAAGAAAGAAAAGAAAAGAAAAGAAAAGGAAAGAAAAGGAAAGAAAAGAGAGATAACAACTTGCAGCGTTGAGGAGGCGGTTTCCCATCACCCATCCCACAGGCACTGAAGAAGTCAGAGGGCAGACGGTCCCGACTTAGGATGGTTCTACTACTGGTTTTCCACCTTTATGATGGCGTGAAAGTGAAACGCACTCAGTAGGAACTGCACTTTGCATTTCTGATCTTTCCCTGGCTGGTGCTATGTGGTGTGATGTTGAGCGGCAGGGTGAGTGGAGGCTGCCGTTAGCCACGTGATCGCGAAGGTAACCGCCCGTTACCAGCAGCGTGCTGTGTTGCCAGAGTCTTGGGGTTTTGTGTTCTGAGCATCGTAAGGTGGGCTAAGCTGCTATGATGTTCACAGGTTAGATCTGCTAAATGCATTTTCGATTTAACAATATTTTCAATGTACGATGGGTTTACCAGGATGAAACTCCATTGTAATTAGAGGGGCATCCACACTAATAAAAGAGAAAAATGGTAATTGGCGTACAACGCTACCCTTTTCATTGGCTAATCAGGGCTATATGCAAATTAACTGCCAACTAAGATTGGCAGTTAACTGCCAACAAGATGGCGGTTAATTTGCATATGTAGGCACAATGCAGGGAGGTGAAAGGGAAAGCAGGAAGAAGCCCCCTACC